ATTGAAATACACTGTTTTAAATGTATTTTAATGTAATGGTTTTAATTGTAGGCATGTTTATTAGGATTAATCTCCAATCTGTCTACAATATAGTGCTATCCAATAACTGCACTCAGACCCATGACTCCTTTAGGCTATGATCAGATCAAAACTGTTATTTTCGACTCTGGGCTTAATATTTCTTTATTTGAATGACTGTGTTTGATTTAACAACAAATCGAAATAGGGACAAAAAGAAATAAAGAGATTTTCTAATAGGCTAATAATAATAATAATAATAGCGTAATAATAATAATAATTATTATTAGTATTATTATTAGTAGTATTAGTATTATTTCGTTCTGTTTGAAAACGAGCAAACGAAAATTAAGCTAGATTTTTCGTAGGCCTATTTTTGTTTGTGGGTAAACAAATGAGCTTATGCTTTAATATTTGTTTCACATGCTGGGCAGCTTTGATACTTTAGTCTGATTATATATTAATTATGTATTAGTGATTATGTATTATTAAAGGATATCTTTAGTTGAATCAAGCCTCGCATTGCATCGCGTTCTTCTTATGGGAATGCAGATGAGCTCAGACGGGAAAGACTGTACAGTAGGCTACCTCTTGTTGGATTTAGGCTATACGAATTAAATAAACCCAAATTTGTTTTAGATTGTTTTATTTAAGTAGACCTTTAGACATAACAAGGTGCGCCAGAAAGCGCTCCCTGTTATTTTTCAAAAGCAATTTGTAACGTTTTGTTGTTATTGTGGAAGTATAGAAAATAAAGCAGACATTTCTTTCCTCTGTTATCATGTAGCCTAAGGGATTGCGCCGGCGCCGCCGAACCGAGAAGAGCAGTGTTGTGCTTTATATGAGATGTATATTTTCAAGAAATAAAGCCTATAGGCCTTAAACAGCCAGACAGTTTGAAGAAACGTTATTGTGACTAATTTGCAGAGCGGTACATGAGATGAACTCTTATTCTGTGTGATAGGATAGACAGTAAAGACAGGCTGAGAGAAAAGTGATGTTTTTAGGGCCGCCCACGCACAACTAGCAAGCTCATTTTTTTAACCCACAAACAAACAATACGAAAAATCTCATTTTCGTTTGCCAAACAGAACGGAATAATAATAATAATAATTATTATTATTATTATTATTATTATTAGCCTATTAGAAAATCTCTTTATTTCAGTTTTTTCGTATTTTGATTTGTTGTTAAATCAAACTTCAGTCATTCAAATAAAGAAATATTAAGCCCAGTTTTGATCTGTGCAAGTATTCATGGGTCTGAGTGCAGTTATTGGATAGCACTATATTGTAGACAGATTGGAGATTAATCCTAATAAACATGCCGCTACAATTAAAACCATTACATTAAAATACATTTAAAACAGTGTATTTCAATCATTTCAGCAGCGTGCAGATCCTCGTTTATGTCAGACTGTGGCGACAGCAGCGCGGACAGTTGCTTAGCTCGCTCACATAATGTACCATATAGCCTATCTATAATAACGGAAAACATGTAGTTTTTATAACATAATATGTCGTTATTACGAGAAAAAATATGTCGTTTTAATGAGAAAAGATGTCGTTTTAATGAGAAAACCTTGTTATTACGAGAAAATATGTCGTTTCAACGAGAAAACATCTCGTTATTACGAGAAAAGATGTCGTTTTAACTAGAAAAGATGTCGTTTTAACGAGAAAAGATATCGTTTTAACGAGAAAAGATGTCGTTAAAACGACATAACATTTCGTTATTACTACATAATTGAGTGGGAAAAAAAATATGTGTGTGGCAGCAATGCGTCACCGTACAGAACAACCAGTGTAGTCTGATTTTTGAAAATGGATGAATTGAGTTCTTCTAATGAAGAGTTTTAAATAACTGGTTCTTTTAAGCGAATCAAAAACATACAGAGTGACCAATTTGTAGTCAATTCATGAACAAATGACTTTTACAAACCTGTTCTTTTTGGTGAAGCCAAGACATAAGAGACGAACAGGGTTGTCCAATTTACAAACAAATGCATATTAAGAGCTGGATCTTTTTTTAGTGAATCAATGAATCAAAATGAGTGTGATCAGTGTAATTTATCGACATGAATTGATAGGTGAAACAACAAACAGCCACCCACAAATAGTCTAGAAACAAAGCATTAGGCTTTCTTTGAGTTCACATGAACAACGGTTAAATTTCCTCGTCGTCAGGCTACAGAAGAATACCATAATTCATCCGTTCAGTTAGGCCTAAGACATCGAGAGTCACGCAGACCTATAACAACCCAGCCACAACACATAATTGCGAATAACATGCCTTACTTTAACACAGAATCGACAGAGACCATCGTTTATATTTTTTCTACGAATCTTTGAGTTAAAGTACTAAACATGAGTGGAGTTTGCACCACAGCTCCCCCACACCTTGATGCTCATGACAAGAATAGCATGTATAGTTATCTTTATTGAAGTGAATTAGGTTTAAATCGCCGTCATGCATGAATGAATGATATTTTTGCAATTTTACACATAATAATCCACGATGATCACATTACACAAAACTGAAATTGCACGTCAAAATAACACATTGTCAATATTTTTTGAGACCCCCCAAAATTTCACAAATCACGTTTTCAGGGGAGCACACGTCTTATTAAGGGGAGCCCCGTAGTTCGCACCCTGGGTAACACATGCTGATGACTGTAAAATTCAACAGGATTAATTTGGTACTTCTGGCTGCTGCGGCCAGGCGCATGCACAGCCGTGTGTGTACGAGAGAGACGCACGCAAAGAGTTTCAATTTGAGTTTCGATGTTCAATTTAATATTTTGGTTGGTCTAAATTAAGTAGTTTAGGCACAAATTTGCATATATGGGTTCCCTTCTATAGACACGAGCGCTGTGTGTTTGTATGTGCTTCATAACCGTGCACCCCAGGGGGCCCGTTGTAATAGCCTGCACTGGGGCCCGTCATTACTAAGTTACGCCACTGCTTAAAAATATCCATATTTCAAACGTAATAAACACTTTTCTCTCACATTTCCGTGGACCTGACCAGAATTCTTGCGACGCAGGATTACATTTCCGAATAAAACGCGGTAGCGGTCGGTAACTCTGGTGTAATTTGAAAGGGAGCGGGCGATCTAACAATATCCCGTTCCCGACGTCCTTTATCTGCGCTTTACTCACTCTTATCGACCACCTGTACAGCCTGCGATCAGGACTGTTATGCATGCGCTGCACGCACGGACCAGTGCTTTCCGCATCATGTATATTATTTGCGCGCAGCATGTGCATAACAGTCCTCAGAGCAGGCTAACCGGTGGTAAATATAGGCCAAATATATATAACCTATTTTTGTGTATTTGATTGACCCCAAAGTCCGTTTTGGAGCGCACACACACGATTCAGTCTGGAGAACAGCATCTTTCGTGTGGATTATTGTGGTTTCAGCATTTTATCAAACATGTCCCAAACAGTAAAGACTGCATTTTACAACTATCACAGATTGTGCTGATTCTGACATTAAAGGGGTCATATGATGCGATTTCAATTTTTCCTTTCTCTTTCAAGTATTACAAGCTCTTGGTGCATAAAGAAAATCTGTAAAGTTGCAAAGACTAAAGTCTCAAATCCAAAGAGATATTCTTTATAAAAGTTAAGAGTCAGCCACGCCTACCTAAAACGGCTCGTTCTAACACGCCCCCACATGTCTAGGTCACTATGTGGGAAGATTTGCATAACGCCGCCCAAATGTTCACGCAAAGAAAGAAGGCATAACTTTTATTCTGGCTTTAGTATTGTTGCTGCCGCCATGTTGTGAATGCGCTGTGTGATTCGTTATGAAAGCGAAACTACTTTGTTTGGCCTTCCAAAAGAGGACACGACTAGAAATCAGTGGTTAAGTTGTATTTACAACACTGTTTCAGAACACTTCAACCCAAATATTCAGATGTGTGCAGCACATTTTATGGAGAACTGTTTCCTGATCCTGGTAGAGTAGACTACAATGCAGGCTGTTCTGACTCACAGACTGTAAGTAAGTTTTTTATATTTAAAGAATTTGCCACTGATGATTCAAACAGTTTTGGGCAGTGTAGAGTAGGCTTGTTGTTTGTCATTTCTCCGATCACAAATGCAGACATGGTTTTATGTTACGCTCTGGCCTGACAGGGCATCATCACAATATGGTAAGGGGTGTAACATTTCTGTCACATGCTTGAGGTATTCGGCCAATCACAACGCACTGGATAGCTGGCCAATCAGAGCACACCTCGCTTTTCAGAGCGATGAGCTTTGTAAAAATCGACGCGTCTCAGAAAGGCGGGGCATAGTGGAGAAACAAAAATGTACAGTATGTGGAAAATAATGTGTTTTTTTAACCTTAAACTGCATAAACACATTTCATTACACCAAATATACAAAATAATGTTCTTTTTAGTAACATCATGTGACCCCTTTAAGTTTTGGTTTTAGGGAGGAACGAATGTGCACCGCTGTGAAGGGAAAGATGTTGCGCTAGAAGAAACACGGCTAGTTTTTAATAGTTTTACCTCATATCTTCTTTTTTATGATCCTTGGAAGCCAAAATCAAAATCAACAGTAAAATGAGCTTAATATCACAGCCACATGCCTAAAGTGTAAGCAGCGGTTTGAATGTTTAGTTCTCAGTCATCACAGTTAAACAGGGCTTTGATGTTGTGTGCTCTGTAGCTCCTCTCTGTGTGAGCAAGATCTCTCTTCTGAATTGCGAATAGCGAAAATGTATCATAGACAAATGTCCTAATATTATTGCACATAAAAAAACAGCTGGGGACTCTGGTGAAATAGAATTTGCAAGATAATGTCTATATAGCAATAATAAATATATGTGTATTTTCTTAATTTCTCCAGTACCGACAGCAGAACCGTAACGTCAGAGCTTATCGATACATCAGTCTTTCATAATTTAGCCCAGGTTGCCCATTTAATACCGGGTGTTGGCACCCATCCCTAATCTCATGGTTAACCTGATAGCTGAAGAGCCAATTAGTATGCACAGTTTACTTCGGAGAGTTATTTCTTGGCAACGGTATTGAATATCAAAATCATCTGATAAGATTTTTTATGTAAAACTGGACAAAATTTGTAGGAGTAGTGTAGCGTCTGGACCAATCAAACACACAATTTTTCATTTGATTTAACAAATCAGTTATTCATTAGATTAACAAAACGTTCACAGACACCTCACCCAATAAACATACTGGGTGCCAAGTTGTCTGTGAACAGGGCCCAGGACCCTGGTTACCATGGCAACCCTGACACCAGATACATTTTACGACCTAATGGCATGTTGAGAGTCACCCCTCTCACTACAATTTCCATAGGAAATCCACAGTACACAGTGAAAAATTGACTCTTCTCTAATTAATTAATAGGAAAACCTTTCTTTGAATGAACACACATATCGTTCAGGTCATTGTGTATATTATTGCTTATATCAACACCCAATCAAATTACATATGCGAAATACCATGCTTAGAGACAAAGGGTCGTAAAACCCTCCAGCAATTGCCACCTCCCGCTTGGAATTTCAGTCTTTCTCATTGGACAAGCTCCTCTTGAGAGGCGTGAATCTTCGCAGACTTTAAAGGCCGCACTTCAGTGACCCACCCCGAGTCGGTGGTTCGGTTAGATTCTAAGAGGAAGACATGAGCTAGAACGCTTCTGCAACCCCCTAACCCCCGTGCCAGGCTTCGGCCTTGACTTTTCCATTCAACAAGATTCTCTGACTCAAACTGGTTCTTTTTCATCAACCAACTTCAGCAAAGATCAACTGGGACCTTCAGACTGCATCAAGCCTTTCTCTCAGACAGACGAGACGTGCAAGTATTCAAACTTAGTCTTATTAATTGATCCATTAGGTATAATTTGCACCTTTTTAAAAGGGTGTGTTTGAACTAAGAATCTGATGTCTCCTTGAGGCTGTAGATCTGCTGAATATGCAAATGGTTCCATAACTTCATATCCTTATTTTCTCTTCTCTCTACTGCGTTAAGTTTTAACTCTTTCCTATACCAACTGTATGTGTGTGTGTGTGTGTGTGTGTGTGTGTGTATGTTGGACCAGTTTAAGTGTTTATGTAGTATGTAAGACTAGTTTAAGTGTTTATGTAGTTAATAAAGTCTTACTTGTATCACACTCGACGTTGTTCATTGTTTGCTCATAACTGGAGTCACTTAATCATGCAGATTTATGCTACAAGCTCTTTGTAGAATTATACAGTAAGAAAGTTATTTCCTTTAACCAGGAAATTAACATTCTTAGAATTGACAGACAGTTGACCCTGAGAGGTCAGCTAAATATCTACAGCGGATCTAAATATTTATAATTAATTATAACTAGTTATGATTAATTATTCATATTTCCCCATGAGCCGATTCGCTACAGTAGCGAAAAAAGTTTTTCACTTTCTTTGAAATGATGGACAAACAAAATGATAAAAAAATTAAAAGTGAGATAATGTCAAAATCTGCATAAGCCAAGGAATGTACTGACACAGAGAAAATAATATTTAGAAAATGTTTGAAAAGATAGAAGCGTTTTTGCAAAAATCTTTATATCTCTGGAACACTAGGTGGCGCTGTGTTAAAACTTTTAAGGTTCTTCCGGGACATGCTGACGATAATCCCTACCAATTTTTGTGATGATATATCAAATGGTTCAAAAGATATCACAACTTTTGACAACTTTCAAAATGGCAGAGTCGAAAAGGCTGTAACGGAGGGAGTTGTGACGACGAAGTTGGGATCCAATTGCAGGCTTTTTTAAAAGAGCGTGGTCAAACAGGCAGAGTCGAAAACACCAGCAAAACAACAATGGCAGAGGCAAGGCAAAGTGAAGTGATGGTAGTGTGTGTGTGTGTGTGCTATTCTTATAGTGGGAGACTGATGAGGTGATGAGAGACAGGTGATTGCAATGATGATGTGTCCAGGCAAAGGGGAAATGGAGTGCGGGGTGAGTGGTAAAGGGTACAGGATGGGGTGCCCTCTAGCGGAGCTCATGGGCACTCCAGCTAGAGATCGTGACACAGGCAGTTTATCTGACTCTGATTAAAAATTGATATCCTCAAATTTCGCATGACCCAAGGAATCCATAGACACAAGATCCTCTGACAAAGTTTCAAAAAGTTATAAGCAATAAAGTTATAACCTTGGCCCAAAGATCTTCTGAGACATTTATTTTTATTTTTTTTGGTGAGAATTGGACAGATTTTGAAGGAGGAGTAGCGAAAAATGGAACACTGTATGGCCTTTACTGTAATGGGTGGAGTCTTGATGTAAGCTATTGAATGTGATCAGCATGAGGTGAGAATCAGATTGACTAAATTTAATTTTTCTAGAACAAAGGATTTAGATGTTATAACCATTTGAAAAGTGAGTTTTTTAACTGGTGGTGACACTGTAGAATTGGTCCTAGAGACCCCAAAGTTGGTCAGGGTTCTATTGAGAACCATCCCAATAAGTGTCACAATTTTCATCATTTTTTCTGTTCCATTCATAGGGCTGCCATAGACTCCCATCTGAGAGGAATAATAATAAGAAGAATATAGCTGCAAGCAGCAAAAACAGTGCACAGTGAGCACATGCATTTAACCTGTAGGACTGTAGGTAAAACTAATGCGTTCCATTTGTACTCAATAACTGGATAATTCCGAGTTCCCAGTAGGAACTTTTAACTGGAACACCCTCCCGGGTCAGAGTTCAGACTCCGAATCTCAGAGGAACAACTTCAGAATTCAATATGGTTGCTCAGTGCATCAACAGAAGAGAAACAGTAGTAATATATTATTTATTAGCACTTATGTTTGTCTGTGTCTCAATAAACTCAGTGGTGTACACAGTACTGTCCAACCTCTGTTTGTGGACAGGATACTATGGTGTTATCTGTGCAAAATACCACTTTTTTATGTGTTTTTAATCAACTGGTATTGCTAACAATGGGTATGTCCATCTTGGTTTTCTGACTTCTTTACTAGAACACGGTCCACTTGGGTGTGATGTCATTCCCAGCTTCGACATCTGAGGTAAATCGAATGCATCAATAGAGTGCTTCGTCCAAGGCAGTTTATGAGCTGTTGCCAATGTCTAATGGTCAGCTACTCTGATGTGTGTTGAGTTTCATGAAATTCCAAGCATTGGTGACGTAGTTATATTTTGGAAATAAAAAAAAGTTCATATCTCCAATGTGTGTATGTCTGTAGTTGCCTGCGTGTCACTGTGGTTGGCGCTAGTGAGCATCATGTACGTACACAACCCTGGCAACGATGATGGCGGAATAAGTTGGATAAGTTAAGTTCTGTGAAACAAAGCAAAATCAACATTACTCACTTATCAAGAAGAAACAAAGTAAACTCGGCATCCATTTCCAGGCCTTCCCGCTCATCGAGTTCTCTCCACCGCTGGAAAGCTTCTCCGATATTTACACGGGTCATACCTCTTGCCTGATCGTAGCCCATCTTTTTAATGTTTTGTTCCTCTTTTTTACCTACCATCTCTCTCTGTCTAGCCAATCTGCTAATATCTGTCCTGCATAGTGTTTACTGATATTATGGGTAAGCTAACTGAGGTGACATTGCAGACTATGCTGGTTATATGTATAAGTACTTTTTTTCTTTCTTTTTTACATTTTGTCTTTTTTTATTGTACATATAAAAAGAAAGAAAAAAAGTACTTATACATATAACCAGCATCATCAACTACCCCAAAAATAAAGATAATAAAATTAGGAAAGATAGCAAAGTTAGAAAAGATAAATAAAGATTTATTATATTCAAAGATGAAATATACAATAAAAATAATGATAAATAGCATTGTACAAAAAAATAGATATAAAAAAATTAGAAAAACAGTACTCATACATAGAAAAATAACTTATATTGCATGAAATGCAATATATAACAATATATTGCATTTCATGATTAACCAGCATCAGCAAAGTACCCAGAAGGAAATTTGGGTTACAAATAAGGTAGTTATTTAGCAACATTTAAATAAACGTTTTAGTCCTGTCAGAGGTAGGAATCAAACCGTGGTCCTTCTTTTCAGTGTTACAACCTGAAATTTGGACGGGAAAGTACTTTTCAGTAAAATATGATGATTTATGCACCATTTATGCACAAAACAACAAAAAAATTGCACAGGGGCTCTTACATTTTCCGTCTCTATGTTTTTCCCTGTTCTTTCTTTTTTCTTCTTTTTTTCTTTCTTCCCCCTCTTCCCCTTCTTGCACTTAAAATTTATTTTTTTTGGCAGGAATTGCATTAAAATAACCCTTTTTATTCATGCAAATATAAATTCTTACCAATGATTTATAATGCATTTGTAAATAAGTTATTAGTTATTGATCAACACCTTTATAAACCCTAATGTAATGTGTTGCCATATTATTATTATTATTTTTTATTAAAGGTCTTTATTGTCTTATCAACCATGTTTTTAGAGATGTCTGTTTTTTGTTTTCTATTGTTTGTTTCAGAAGTCAGGCTGATTGGAGGTTCTCGCTGCTCTGGCAGGTTAGAGATACTTCATGATCAGACATGGATGTCAGTGTGTGACGCTGCCTTTGACCAGCAGGATGCAGAGGTTGTGTGTAGAGAGCTGGACTGTGGGGCTCCTGTACAGGTGCTTGGAGCAGCTGCTTTTGACAAAGGAGACGCTCAGATGTGGACACAAGAGATTCAGTGCAGAGGAAATGAATCTCAGATTCACCTCTGTCCAGCCTCATCAGTCCAAGGAAACTGTTCTCATGAACACAACGTTGGGCTGCTGTGTGCTGGTAAAAGACAAGCTTGGCAACAGTAGATTTCTTTTAATGCAGTGTGATGCGACATGACACGGCAAATACCTGACAGTAAATTTATCAGTTCTATTTCTGATGAATTCTAAATGCTTATGCTACTTCTGACACAAAGGATAAATTGACATTTATTGCTTGTTTTATGTCATATGTAATGAAGATAGCCTCAACCTCTTGTAGGGCAGCGTGACAATGGTCGCGTCCAGTGTAGACATGGTGTTACTGTTGTCCCATTCTAATTTTTTTCTTGGTTCTTTCGGACAGACATAATGAATGTGAGGTTGGTTGGTGGTAACAGTCGCTGTGCTGGTAGAGTGGAGGTTCATCATAGAGGTCAGTGGGGAACAGTTTGTGATGTTGGTTGGGATTTGGCTGATGCTGCAGTGGTGTGTAGAGAGCTGGACTGTGGAGAACCTGTAGATGCTCTGGGTAATAATAATGTTGGACCAGGATCAGAACAGATCTGGATGAACAATGCAATGTGCACTGGATCTGAATCCACACTGAAAAAGTGTGGATATGTTCAGTGGAAAAAGTGTCCTGGTATGAATGCTGGAGTAATTTGTTCAGGTACTCTCAGTATCCCTGCCTACTATAAAACTTAGTCAAACTCATAAAAATAATGGAACATTTCTTTATAATATAAAGTCTATATTATTTTTTCAGGAGTCAGGTTGGTTGGAGGTTCTCGCTGCTCTGGAGGGTTAGAGATACTTCATGATCAGACGTGGATGTCAGTGTGTGACGCTGCCTTTGACCAGCAGGATGCAGAGGTTGTGTGTAGAGAGCTGGACTGTGGGGCTCCTGTACAGATGCTGGGAGCAGCTGCTTTTGACAAAGGAGACGCTCAGATGTGGACACAAGAGATTCAGTGCAGAGGAAATGAAACTCAGATTCACCTCTGTCCAACATCACCATCACATGAAAACAATTGTTCTCTTAACAACAATGTTGGACTTGTGTGTGCAGGTTAGAGTGAATTTCTTTTAATTTACAAAGAAATTAAAATTATCATAGCTCTCTTTAAAAACTTAGTTTTAAAGTAATTTTCTGTTTATAATTAATTCCTTCCCCCATTCTCCCTATTTAACATACAGAAAATAAAAGAGTGAGACTGGTTGGTAGTAACACTCGCTGTGCTGGTAGAGTGGAGGTTCTTCATAGAGGTCAGTGGGGAACAGTGTGTGATGCTGGATGGGGCATGACTAGTGCTGCAGTGGTGTGTAGAGAGCTGGACTGTGGAGAACCTGTAGATGCTCTGGGTGATGCTCATTTTGGACAAGGATCAGGACCAATGTGGTAGAATCCCACGCTATGTACCGGATCAGAATCTACACTGAAACAATGTGGATCAGTAGAATGGCTTATATATGAGTGTGATCATTCTAAAGATGCTGGAGTCATCTGCTCAGGTGAGCTGCTCCAAACTTCTCCCTGGTATAGCATAACTAATGATACATCTAATGTAAATAAACTCCTCATTTTATTATTTGATGTTATATTTTTACAAATTGTATATTGGTTTAATTTTAAAATTATACATGGTACTAAGAGATTTACAAACGATGATCTATTCTAGATGGATAAACAAATTTGTTTACATGTGAGAATGTTTTCCAGGTATACTAGCCTATAACAACAGTGTCATATGCCCTTTGTTCATACTTATTTAGGAGTCAGGCTGGTTGGAGGTTCTCGCTGCTCTGGGAGGTTAGAAATACTTCATGATCAGACGTGGATGTCAGTGTGTGATGCTGCATTTGACCAGCAGGATGCAGAGGTTGTGTGTAGAGAGCTGGACTGTGGGGCTCCTGTACAGGTGCTGGGAGCAGCTGCTTTTGGCAAAGGAGACACTCGGATGTGGACGCAAGAGATTCAGTGCAGAGGAAATGAATCTCAGATTCACCTCTGTACAACATCTTTATATAAACATGACTGTTCCCATGACCATGACCAAGGATTGATTTGTACTGGTAAGAGATCATGTACAGTCAGTCTGTCATTGTTGCATAATAAATTCCAATATTATCCCACTTATTACATGGCTGCTCCCAAAATAAATAAAAAACTTGGACATAAAATATTACTTTAAGTTTATATTAATTTATCATTTTACCTTTTTATTATTGTAAAACTAGTCCAAAATAGTATTGTCCAACACTGCAACAATTTTACTGTAATATTAATATTGAAGTCCTCTGAGGTCACATTTGCTACAATTGATAACTGAGATACAAGATTGCACAGTTTGTGTTTAAATGAAATGAGCAAGCAAATACATGGTATGTTACAAGAGAGGCATGGATGAGCAGTCTGGTTCCATGGAGGACAATGAAGATTAGGAAACATCTGACTTCTGAATGGTATAATTTCCCAGTCAGAATCATGTATTCCAGACAGTCATAAATATATACTATCATTGACAGCTTGTATTCTAAAGCATAATGGGACCATTAAAAAAAGTGTGTGTGCATTGGTGTATTGTACAGTGGCTCCAAAAAGTACTTGGACACTTGAGCCACAATAATTAAAAATGTATAAATGTCTTTGCTTTATACAACATGTAAAATTAAGGGCCATTTATCTAAATGAAATAAAGCATAAAGACATTTTAAGTCAAAACAGTTCACAAAATTAAGTTTATTAGGTTTGAAAATATGAAGCAATTGGATGCATTATATTGTTCATAATGAAGACAAAAACTCTTGGACAATTTCCTGATGTCAGACTTTGTGGAATATGTTCATATGTTAATATTATACTGCAACAGTGGTTACATTGCTAGGACATCGGTGTAAATTTGAGTTCATACATCCATGAAAAAAGGTAAGTTAGTTCTAAGAAAAGCATAGCATCATTTGTTTGTTACATATTCTTTTGAAATATGGAATGAGTTTTTATTTGTATATTTGTGTGTCCAGATATTTTTGGGGCCCACCATATATAGCTGAAATCCCTTTCAGAGTTTGTTTTTATAGTATCTTTCTCTTCTAGACATGAAGAACATGAAGCTTGTGGATGGTAACAGTCGCTGTGCTGGTAGAGTAGAGGTTCTTCATAGAGGTCAGTGGGGAACAGTGTGTGAAGCTGGTTGGGATTTGGCTGATGCTGCAGTGGTGTGTAGAGAGCTGGACTGCGGAGAACCTGCAGATGCTCTGGGTAGTGCATTTTTTGGAGCTGGATCAGGACCAATCTGGATGAGTACTATATTTTGTTCCGGATCGGAGTCTACACTGAAGAACTGTGCATCATTAGGTTGGACTAAACCTCTTTGTAAACACAACTGGGATGCTGGAGTCATCTGCTCAGGTTAATGGTTGTACAGAACATTTCAAAACCCTTACATCATTAAACATTATATTTGTCTCTTATGAATAATCTATCAGTGTCAAGTAAAGATAGCTCACCAAATGTTTAAATGTTTTTGTCCAATGTATACTATTTTATGGCATATGCACAGGTCATAAAAGTAACAGACTTGCTGATGGACCTAATCTCTGCTCTGGGAGGTTAGAGATACTTCATGATCAGATGTGGATGTCAGTGTGTGACGCTGCCTTTGACCAGCAGGATGCAGAGGTTGTGTGTAGAGAACTGGACTGTGGGGCTCCTGTACAGGTGCTGGGAGCAGCTGCTTTTGGCAAAGGAGATGCTCAGATGTGGACACAAGAGATTCAGTGCAGAGGAAATGAATCTCAGATTTCATTCTGTTCAACATCATCACACAAACACAACTGCACCAGTGACAATAATGTGGGACTAATATGTTCTGGTAAAAATATTCAATGTCTCTTTTTTATAATATCTGCTTGTTCGATATCACTTCCTGGAAACCAACACTTTAATGATTCAGAAAAGATGAATTACTGTTCTCCCAGCTGAGATTTCATTATGAAGATAAAGGGTAGGATCATGATTATTTAGTAGCATACCGTGACTACAGTTCCGTTCAAAAGAAGTCTCTTCATGCTCACCCAGGCTTAATTCAGTTAATGCAAAATACAGCAAAAACAATAATATTGCCCAAATCCAGTGACACATGATGTCAGACCAGAAGATGAGAAATAAATAATAATGTTACACTTTTCTGCTTTATACTTGATTACCAAAGTCTTTGTTCTTTGTTCAGGTTACACTGATCTCAGACTGGCAAACAGTCCAGACTCTTGTTCTGGAAGAGTGGAGCTTCAGTTCCTCGATGAGTGGGGCACAGCGTGTGATGCATGCTGGGATATGAAAGCTGCCAGTGTCCTCTGTAGACAGCTGAATTGTGGGTTTGCTGTGTCTGTTGTGGGATCAGACTGGTTTGGAGAGGGAAGTGGTGAAATCTGGGCTGATGTGTTTGATTGTGACGTGAATGAAACAAAACTCTCAGAATGTTCCATCTCTTCATGGAGTCGAGCTGAATGTTCTCATAGACGAGATGTTGGAGTCATCTGCTCTAGTACGATTTTACTGAAATTGTTTTTGTTATATATTACCTTGAAATATCTTAATAAAATGCTACATCTTTCACTCAGGTTCCTCTCTGGCTCTTCATGATGGTCTGGTGCAGTTGTCTGGAGAGAGACAGTGTGAGGGGGAGGTGGACGTTTTCATCCATCAGGTCTGGAGGAAAGTTCTGCTGGACTCCTGGAGTCTCACTGAATCCTCTGTGGTCTGCAGACAGCTGGGCTGTGGCTCTGTGCTGAACTTCTACGGCTCCTCTTCATCCAGTCCTGAACACAGTCATGAGTGTGTGACGGGCTTCCAGTGCTCTGGGAGTGAAGCTCATCTGGGGAACTGCAGCTCTCCACAAACTCTCAACTGCAGCTCCACACAACAGCTGTCAATCACTGCTTTTGCAAGCTGCACTCTTAAAAATAAAGGTGCTTCACGATGCCATAGAAGAACCTTTTTGTCTAAATGGTTCCATAAAGAACCTTTAACATCTGAAGAACCTTTCTGTTTCACAAAAGGTTCTTTGTGGCAAAATAAGGTTCTTCAGATTACAAAAAGGTAAGAAAGAGATGGTTCTTTAAAGAACCTTTGACTGAATGGTTCTTTGTGGAACCAAAAATGGTTCTTCTATGGCATCGCTTGAAGAACCTCTTGAGTGTGACGGGCTTCCAGTGCTCTGGGAGTGAAGCTCATCTGGGGAACTGCAGCTCTCCACAAACTCTCAACTGCAGCTCCACACAACAGCTGTCAATCACCTGCCTTGGTGAGAAGAACAACATCTGGGCAGATTTTTTTAGTTGTTCATGATCAATAATGTGTTTTTCTTTCTCTGAATATCAGGTCGCGGGTCCATCAGGCTGGTGGGTTCTGGGGGAGACTGTGCAGGGAGGCTGGAGGTTTTTCACAGTGGCTCATGGGGGACAGTGTGTGATGACTCCTGGGATATTAAAGATGCCCATGTGGTGTGCAGACAGCTGCAGTGTGGAGTGGCCCCCAGTAACCAGCAGGTACCAGCCTGGTTTGGTCCTGGTTCTGGACCCATATGGCTGGATGAGGTGGAGTGTGAGGGGAATGAGACGTCTCTGTGGAGCTGCTCTTCTCCAGGATGGGGAAAACATGACTGTCAACACAATGAGGATGTAGGAGTCGTGTGCTCAGGTAAACATGCTCCAGTAATTTATTTTGTTAACCTTAAAATTAATATATAGTTTTTAGAAATTAACTTTCAGCACATTAACGTGTCCATAATGCCCAGATTTTTACATTTCCTTAATGAGTGGAATTTTTTTCCTTACATTTTTATCTAGAGTTTAAAGAATTCAGATTAACTGAGGGCTGTGAAGGGAATGTGGAGGTTTTCTACAATGGATCATGGGGAAATGTGTGCTGGAACCAGATGGACAGAGATACAGCGAGTCTGATCTGTCAAGAGCTAAATTGTGGAAGATCGGGCGTTTTGTCTGATTCTACTCCAAATGTGGAATCAGCTCCTAACTGGCTGGATGAAGTGAAATGTCGACGACATGATTCAAGTCTGTGGCAGTGTCCATCTTCACCCTGGGGAAAGAATTACTGCAATAGAGATGAAGTGGCCAAAATCACCTGCTCAGGTGAGACTGATACAGTAATCATTAAACAATAATGCTGTGTGCATGAAATGTGTATAATATAATATAATATAATATAATATAATTGATTAGAGACCGTATGAATGCGCTGTTTGCTGTTATGGTACTAAATCACTTTAAAGTGTCAATTACCACACGTGATGTCGAGTGACCAAAAGACTAAGGTAAAAGGCAAGCTTAACCAGTTTACTCTTTTAGATGCTGAGTAACAAGAGATCAATACAATATATGCACA